TCATATTTTAATATTGCGATGATTGTCCGTCTATTTGTTTGTGGATACATATAAAAAAAAAAAATTTACAAATACCTCTGTCGCCCTCTATCGGAAAAACGCCCAGGTTTGTCACTGATTAGTTTTGATTGTTCACTGCTAGATGGCAATACAGGTGTTCCTAAGTTTTTTTTTTTACATTTCCAAAAACAAATAGGTGAACAAGTATTGTAATATTAAAATATGAGTGAGAATCATTTTTGAGCCCTGACCTCTTAACTTTTTAATTATAAAAACAAATGGCTCCATGTAGTGGTGAACAGGCCGAACAATTTTTCATTGTATTTAACACTTTATAGTAACGTATCGACAAGTCGGTAAAAAAAAACAAGATAAATGACGCCATCTAGCAGTGAAAAAAGGAACTATCGAGGACAAACTTGAGCGTTTTCCCGATAGAGGCGCTGACCATACTCCGAAGTTAGTTCGGTCTTTTCACTGCCAGATGGCTATTCACTCGAGCGAAATTAATTTGAATTTTAAAAATAAATTAAACATTTGTAGCACTCTTGAATAATTAATTTATATTTCCATAATACATAAACGATATTTATGAATTTTTTATGCATGCCAATAATTCTCTACAACCAGTCGGAATTGCGACAGGAAATACGATGCCTAAAACGGTACGGTTTAATCGAACTTTGAATATAACAATGGCAATGTTTCTACGAGCAATACCAATACGGTTAGTACATTGCAGAAGGCAACTCGAAAGGAATAACAATTCGAAATTACGTTTCAGTCTTATATTCGGGATAATATAATTTATAATATAACAATTCCCGATACCATACGTGTATATATAGCGTATTTTAATGAAGCATCAAACATTTTAACGAAACAGCCATGGAATAAAGCAACACATTAACCAAAGGAAAATAAAATACTTTTCCATATTAAGACCAACGGTAAATATGTTCGTAATAAACATGGGACAGGTCCTAAAAGGTAGAGAACCTTGTACATTGTTTCCAAAACATGTACACGTTCCTGAAAATGACTCGTTACATCGCCCAACGGATCAGAACTCTTCGAACAGACAGAAATTTCGCTGAGAATAAAGTTTCATCCATCTCTTCTTACGTTTAACCGTAGTTTTTTAGTAGATCCGGCCCTGGGTAGATCTCACGCCCAAACTTTCGACCGATCTTTTAGAAACATCCTGTAAAAGGGGTTCGGTTCATTCGGTGTGTTGATTCTCTCTCGGTTGCAGCTCGCGGGGCCAAGGATGCGCGTGTGTTTGTACGCGTTTTCATGCACACGAGTATCCGCTTTGCGCGTGCGTGCACGCGGCTCCGATTGACGTGGACGTGTGCGTGTATGTGTGTGTTTTGTGTATCCGTGGGCGCCTGCGTGTGCGTGTACGTCCATCATGAGTCAGAGCACCCATGGTCGGTTCGCGTTTCGTAATTAATTCTCCTCGTTGACGAGAGAAATGCGAGTCTAGTCCCGGGACCAACACACCTGCACGTTCCCGGGCCGCGCTTGTCCTCAGAGGACATGCTCGTTGTGCCCGGTAAATCGCGCATCTTTCATCATTCTTCACCTCCCGCTCGACTTTGCTCCGTTTTCGTACCCACCGTCTACGGTGCGTCCAAGTGTTTCGTGTGTGTCTCCTCGTCTTGTTTTTCTTGAAAAAAACACCTCCTCGCGTATCTCTGGCTCTCTTCTTCCCCGGGACTCTCGTGTCTCCTCTTTCGTGCAGGTACTGTCGCTCGTCACAACGTTTCCACGAACAACCACCACCTACTCGTTCCCTTTTACGATCGACTTAGCGCACGATCGTACTTTCCTGCCTTCTCATGTATGTTATGAATTTTCATACAGCAACACGGGAAAGGATCGTACGCTCCGGTGTCTCGATCATCCGACGGACGCGGCTACGAATGCTCCCCGTTGAGTTTACAGTATCGCTCTCAGCGGCGATCGAACTTTCACGGGAAAGAATGGACTGTGAATTCGTCGACGATCTCGTTGATCGTAGTCGCCTTTTATTTGCCGCCCTCTCCAACGAGTAAAACGGGTCGAGTCAGGTAGACAGAGTTTCTCTTTCCCATGGAATTTTTAATAATTGTAGTAATTTTCTTGTTCGATGATGCGCTGTTTCGTTGATGACAACAAACGTTTAAATAGAGTATTCTATTTTAGATTACTTAAGTTTCGGAGGAAAGGAATAACAGAAGTAACATGGAACACAACAGAAATAGGCCTAGCAGGCCGCGCCTTCGCTCCCATGGAAATTCTGCCCGAGTTCTGGTATTCGATCAGACAGAAAGCGAGGAATCTGCTTGCAGTGGCGAGGGAGATGTGCAGAAGCATCCCATACTACCTAAAATGGAAAGCAAGGAAGCTCCAGCTCGGCCTGGTTGATAAGACTTTATGTTGTTTTGTATAAAATACATGTTTCTTTCGTGATTTCTTACCATTTCATCTTTTCAGCCAGTGGAGAACTATCGAATCTGGTTCGAATGAGGAACTCTGCGATAGGAAAGTCTGCACCTTCTTTATCTGTCCATGTGGTTAGTCATATATGTATTTACTATCGATATTGTAATATATGTTTTGTACACAAGTATAGTATGTATATCGTTTTTTTTCACAGCGTGATTTTAACATTCCGCGGCGTGCTGCTAAAGCAGCTCATCGTAAATCTTTTATCGCGACAACGTCGCCCACCTTACCGAGATGTCACTCGCCGCTATCAGGTGCGTGAACAATTGTGTTCCTCCATTGTTTTTACTCCCTAACTAATTCTATAAATAAAATTTTATTAGCCACTCGATATGTTCTCTTAGCGAATACATTATGCTCCACAAGTACATCCAGCAAGAGCAACTAAAACATAAATGCTTGTTTATGAGTGACTATGGATACTATCTATCTCATAAAAGAATATTATATAAGCATTTTGGCACATCTTTGTTTAAGATTTGAATATACATATATATACATATATCTATGTTTGTACTATAGCATAACTGTTACAGTTTGCAGATTACACGCGATACATTTATTTTTGAGCATATTAGATCTAGAACGTTTAAGCAACTCTGCCCTAAAACGATGTCCTAGAAAAATTACTTTTTATCTGCTTAGAATCGTGTCTTATATTATTTATGACTTTCAACTATTATAGAGGATTAATTTCTTTTACTGCTTGTTTCCCAATATAGCATTCGTCCCGATTGTAGGCAGTCCCCTAGAGAGTCCTAGGATGTCATCCAGTCCACATTTTGCTTTTGCTCCAATTAAAAGGTATCTACTTTGTACCTACTCTTAGCGTGGTTAAATCTGGTTTGATTGCCTATGAAAGTAGGTGTCGCCATTGCGGGTATTGTATTTTTAATACATTATTAATAGTAAAGAAAAAGAAAACAAGATATGCCGCTGCAGAACATCAACTGTCTAATCTTTAAAAAACGACGAAGAACGTGGTTGTAAGATCCTTTCTTACATTATAGCAAAGTTATTGTGTCTATGTGGTATTTCTATTAAATAAAAAAATTTTTTTTGTCCGTTACGCAAGCAATATTTAAAAGTGCGCATAATATTTAAGGATCGGTGGAGGTGCCACAGGAACCGGTGATGGCAGACGATGGTCGGTTGCTAGCTTGCCATCCAGTGGATATGGCACTACACCGGGTTCCAGTAATGTTTCGGTTAGTCGTTTATTAGAGATCCGTACGCAGTGAGATTTTTGACGATTTACAAATCATGATGTACTTAATTAGTCACAGTACTCGAGCCAAGAACGCTTGCATCAACTTCCAAATGTTCCGACCAAGGACGAATTGCGCATGCTTTCTTGCCATTTTTCTAAACCTGGCACACCATGTTCTTCGCATCCGGGATTTCCAGGTTCAAGTATCTCCAGTATTCCAGGCAACGTGTCTCTCAGTCATGACGAGGATGGTCGTAGATCGCCGTTACACAGACCACGCTCGCGAAGTTTAAGGTAAATTTTATCGATATTACGGCATTACTGTTTTGAAGTATACCTGGAGAAAGCATTGTTTGTAAAATAGTGATCTGTTTATTCGATTGTAGTAGTCCTAGCCGGTCACCCGTACTGGACAGTGAAATTGTTATGATGAACACCCTTTATAAAGAACGATTTCCAAAGGTACAAATTTGAACAGAGAATGTTTTAACATTTCGACGTTCCAACGATTCTCTTTAACGCGCAAATATATTTCGTCAGGCGACACAGCAGATGGAAGAGCGTCTGACCAATTTCATCAACGAAAATAAGGAGTTGGACGAGTTCGAAGTAGTGGCGAATATGACTCAGGACTCCTTGCCGATTTTACGATTCGTCCATCATCAAGTAATCGAAATGGCGAGAGACTGTTTGCAAAAATCTCAGGAAAAATTAATCACGACTAGATATTTTTATGAAATGAGCGAAAATTTGGAGCATCTACTTATGGAGGTAACTCTACGAGAAATCACCTGCTAAATCAATATACGTACACATCCTAATGTTAACAAACGTACATTCGCAGACCAAAGAGAAATCTCTCGAAGCTGCAACGAGACTAACGGGGCTTATCAAAAAATTATTGTTAGTAATATCGCGTCCGGCTCGCCTTTTGGAGTGCTTAGAATTTGATCCGGAAGAATTTTATCATCTATTAGAACAAGCCGAAGGCCAAGCGAAAATTAACGCGGGAATAAAAACGGATATACCTCAGTATATCGTTAACAAGCTGTCTCTCAATAGAGATCCCATATCGGGTAACACTTTACTCCGTCGTCTTTCCGATTTACATTCTTCAACCATAAATACTCAATACTCTTTCGTTCCTTAGAATTGCAAGAAGATTTGAATAAGCTAGAAGATTCGGCTAGTTCGAGCGACAGTAACTTACAAATTACTTCGAGTCCAAACAAAGACGACGAAAAATCTCAGCGCGTTCCGTGTGAAAGTGATTACGAGGTACTGAAGCTCATAAGTAACGGCGCATACGGTGCGGTGTTTTTGGTTAAGGAAAAGACCACGAGGCTAAGGTTCGCCATGAAAAAGATAAATAAAAATAATCTGATGCTGCGCAATCAAGTGGAACAAGTTTTTGCTGAGAGGGACATTATGAGCTTTACCGATAATCCGTTTGTAGTTTCTATGTACTGCAGTTTCGAAACAAAAGTACGTACGCGTTGTTGATACCAACAACGCCGGTCAAGTTTAAATAAAACTTATCTAACTTGGTTACTCGATTACAGAAACACTTGTGCTTGGTGATGGAGTACGTAGAAGGTGGAGACTGTGCGAATCTCTTAAAGAATATCGGTGCATTGCCGCCGGATATGGCTAGGTTTTATTTCGCGGAAACCGTCTTGGCTGTTGAATATTTGCATAGCTACGGCATCGTTCATCGAGACTTAAAGCCCGACAAGTACGTAAATCAATGATTTATTGATTCTTCGATTATTTCACGCGTTCGTTTGCTTTCAGTTTACTGATTACGGCCCTTGGTCACATCAAACTGACAGACTTCGGTCTTAGTAAAATGGGTCTTATGTCTTGTAAGTGATGAAAAACAGGAATTGACGATTTTTTATTTAAAGAGTCAAACGAAAATATCTGTTTTAGTGGCGACGAATCTTTACGAGGGATATATCGACAGGGATACGAGACAGTTTTCGGACAAACAGGTATTCGGTACGCCCGAGTACATCGCCCCTGAGGTAATACTTCGTCAGGGTTATGGGAAACCCGTTGATTGGTGGTCTATGGGCATTATACTGTATCAATTTTTGATTGGCTGTGTACCATTCTTCGGTGATACTCCGGAAGAGTTATTTGCTCATACAGTCAATGATGATATCGAGTGGCCTGACGATGAAGACTGGCCTGTCCAGCCGGAAGCTAAAGGTATTATAACGGCGTTGCTGCAGCAGAGTCCTAGAGATCGATTAGGAACCGGAGGATCACATGAAGTCAAAGAACATCCGTATTTCTTTGGAGTGAACTGGAACAGTTTACTCAGACAAAAGGCTGAGTTTGTGCCGCAATTGATCAACGACGAGGATACAAGTTACTTCGACACTCGTATGGATAGATATAATCACGACATAGGCGATGACACCGACGACACCGATGACTCTCCATTGTTCGGATCGTTCTCTTCGTACTCTCCTCAATCTCGAAAGATCTCCCAAACTCGTCCACCGCAGATAAATCCAGAGTCAGAGTCGGACACCTCGAAGAAACAATTATTCTGCAACGAGCTCGAACGCATGGTCGCGCAATTGTCAATGGGATGCGGTAACTCGGCGGTCACGCCTCCATCCAAGTTGATCGAATCGACTCCGTCGGAAAAGAATCGGTCCTCTTCCTCCGCCAAGAGCATTTCAAGCATGGAGACTCCGCCTAAAATGGACAAATCGAACGCCTCATTCACGAGCCCTGCCACGGCAACGAGCACCGAGTCGCAGTTGACGGTTATCAAGAACACTCAGTTAGAAGGGACGTCGGTCAGCTTGAGCACACCCGACTCATCTCAAACGGAGTCCGAGGACATCAGTCCGCAGATCCAGAGAAAGAGACACGTGCATTCCCGCGACAAGCTGCCCAGGTTCAGTATATCCGTTGATGATGACCACATGTGAGTCGTTTAGACATCTTCGCAAAAGTTATTCTTCCACCGCTCTCACATAATTCATTCGCCTTTAGAATCTCACAAAGAAATACCTTCGTGCTAATAATTGAATTTAATTGCAGGTTGGACCTGGTCGCGGCAAACAGGGATACGACCGAGGAGAGCAAGCATAATTCCAGCACCGACTCCTTCGAATCGTTTACGGCAATGCCGGTGATTCTATCGTCTGCAAAACAAAAGTCACGTTCCGTAATCAAGTCTGCGTCCACCAGTGGATTGTCGTTGGTGATACCGACCAGCGAGTTTTCTTGTATGTCTCATTATAAATCGTGTTCGTTTTTCGAATCGTTAAATTTAAACACTGAACCTCATCCATGTGCATCTGTATTTTTCAGACGACACATCCTTGCATACTCAACCAATCGAGTCACCCGGTGGGTCATCTACCGCTTCTTCGAGAGACACGTCGCCTTGCCGTGAATTAAGTCCTCTTGTGACCAGCTTAAAACCCCCTATCATCATCCGAAGGGGACCTTGCGGATTTGGCTTCACTGTGCACACTATCAGAGTTTACTACGGAGACAGCGATTTTTACACGATGCATCACCTAGTTATGGTACGCGTGTAACACTGAAGAATAAGAGAGGTCTTCTACGTAGATGTACGTGTACTAATCGAATATGTTTTGCGTTCTGCAGGCCGTTGATCAGTCTAGCCCAGCGTTCGAAGCTGGCTTGAGACCAGGCGATCTCATAACACATATAAACGGTGAACCAGTGCAGGGTTTATATCACATACAAGTTCTTCAGTTAATGTTGAGCGGTGTCGATCGTGTAACTTTGCGCAGCACACCGTTGGAAAACACCAGCATAAAAACGGGCGGACGGAAGAGAGATCTTGCCCAAAGCAAAATGGCGCGCAGAACGCTCCACAAGCAGCGTAAACAAAAGCGCGATCATTCCGATAAGAAACGAAACACGTCCCTTTTCAAGAGACTTAGTTCCAAACGACACAGTGCGGAGATACAGCAGGTATAAAACGAAGTCCGTTCACCTTTCTTATTTTCGTAACTCTAGTCGAGGAAACATGTGATCGTGGTTAAAGTGATGAATGTATATATCCATAATGTTCCTTCTTTTCTGTCTCTTACACAAAACTACGAGGCAAAATAACAAAGCACCGCAGCGAATTAATAAGCAACACACCGATTTATGTTAAGCGTTACTTTTGTTCTTTATTGCAGCCATTAACTATCAGTTGTCCATTGTCAGCACCCATTCTATCCAGCGACAGCAAACCTCCACTTATGGTATGATTTTTCTGTAACGTTTCGTCGTCATCTTGCCTAATATCGTTTCAGTTTGTAATTTCTTTTAATCAGAACTATCATTTGCTCGATACAGACACGCGGCAGCTTTTAAATGTTGCTTCCTTTTGTCTAATTGACCGCGACAATGTCCGAATTTTTACACAACACTTATCACAAAAGATTCGATGTTCCATAACGCATATAGAATAATAGACCGAATGATGCTAGATCTATTCAAATAATCGCTGAGGGAAACATTAACCGATCTTTTCCCAGATGGCTGCAGGACTTTGTTCACCGTCGATGGTGACACCTAGTCGATCCTTCCAGTCGTTCACGCGTTCCCAGGAATCGTCGCCTTATTTTACAACTTGCACAAAGTCCGTTTGCAGTCCGTCGCCGCCAACGAATCGCGTTAGTTTGGACTCCTATCACTCCACTGGCAATTCAAGTCCCTGCTCCAGCCCGAACTCATCGTCTCCTGGTTCAAACACGTCTGCGGCAAACTTGACAACTATCTCGAACCAGTCCCATTATCAGAGACCTAGCACCCTTCATGGTTTGAAGCACAAGTTGCACACGGCGGCAAAAAATATCCATTCACCGAATCGCAGAAAATCTGTGGGGCATATACCGTTATCCCCGTTGGCCAGGACTCCAAGCCCATCGCCGCTTCCTGCTAGTCCAACCAGGAGTCCCAGTCCTCTAACGTTTCCTACAGGACATCAGCCTGGCAGCTCCAATACCACGCAGTCCTATAGTCCAGGTACGATCAAACATATATATCACACTTTACCGTATATACGATTGTCAATATAAAAATGTTTATTACTCACAGGGGTCTGCTTGTCAACGCCAAACAACCAGAAGAAAGGCTACGGTCGGCCAAAGTCAGCGGAACCTGGTTCTCCGTTGCTGAGGAGAGCGCTCAGTCCAGACAGGCTTCACCCACGCTCCGCGGAGAACAAGACGTCGATATCGCCGTTGGCTAACACGCTGGTAAAAGTAACGCCTCGTGTAACTATAGCCCAATCGTCATCTCATTCGGAGACTTCCGAGGACAGCAGCGATAGCTTCAAAGAGTCAAACGATACCAAGGTCGAGAAGAAACCGCCAACTGAACAAAAATCCGACTACTCGAAATTATCCCATGCCATATCGATCAACTTAGGGGCTGTGAGCATGTCGAACTCGTGCGGTAGCACGCAGTTGCCGAGAATAGCGGAGGAAAAGGACTCGCCAACCGGAACCAAGGGTGACGATTATTCATCGAAGGAAATTTCGAGCTCCGACAAGGACGATAAAACTAACGCTTCTGCCAACAAGTTGTCAGAGCCAGAAGAAGCCGTCGACTGCGATAATCGTCGCAGTCACGAGTCGACGAAGGCAGACTTGTACGCAAGAAACTCGGAACCGCCTGTCAATAAAATTGAAGAAAGAGCTCAGTCCGATAACTCGTTTAGTATACACACTCGTAGCTCGCCGGCTACGTCTCACAAGCAATCGCAGAGCAACGAAAAAGGCTTGCAAGCCTCGTTTCAGAGGGGATTGTTGCAGAGTTGGGAAAAATGCTCGCCATCTTCCGCTCAAAAAACGTCGTTGCAGAGCACCGAGAAAGGCTCGCACTCGGCGAGTCAAAAGTCTCTATCTCAAAACAGTGAAAAAGGTTTGCAGTCGTCGACTCAAAAACCTTCGTCGCTGAGTAGCGAGAAAGGTTCGCAAGCTTCGGCTCAAAAGCCTCCGTCGCAAAGCAACGAAAGAGTTTTGCAAGCTACGTCGCAGAAATCGTCCCAAGTCAGCGAGAAATACGTGCAAACTGCGTCGCAGAAGCTAGCTCAAGGCTTGGAGAAGGGAGCCGCGTCGCATAAGTCAAACGAACAAAAGGCAGCTGGTAAATGTTCAGAGGCTAATCCAGATGGTAGAAAGATGTCGAAGAAACACAAAGTCGACAGCTTCGAGGGTACTGGCTGCTCGAACTCGTTCGAACCCGGTGGGTCAGGGAAGGATAAGAAAAACAATTAAACTATGCCCGCGTGTTGATCATATCCTTCTGCCAATGACACAATACGTCTTTTTTTTTTGTTTGTTTGTTTGTTTGTCTAATCATCGTCACAGTATGAATCAAATTTCGCGAAACGCAAATAGAAAGTTTAGCGTCTATGCTCGAATAAGAGCGAAAGAAAGGTAAATCAAAAGCAAGACAGTTCTACGTATACAGCTTTATAAAGGGAGGCGGTTTGTACTCGAATCAACTATCTATATAGGCTTCCAGCGAATAACCCTTTGAAGAATAACTTCGGTTGGTGTTTCTGGATATCTACGATTGGTATTTAAGCCATCCTGTAACTGTAATCTTTGTCATACGATTAATTTAATACAATGAAATCAAGATGAAAGTAGAGAAACTGCGACGTATTATATTTAAACGGTTTCAAATGTACAGTTTGTTGAATTCGCTCTTCCGACTTCCGCGAGGAAGTCGGAAGAGAACGAACAAGTAATTGGAGTAATTTATATACTTCGGGCTACAGTATTTACACGATCTCATTTACGTTTATGTCTAATATTAGCACATCACTGTATGAATCAGCATATAACAGTCAGCGAATCGCGTACAGATAGTTTTTCAGTGCGCGTAATATTCGTGAAAAGAAGACAACATGTATCGTATATACTCGTGATCCAGGTTTATAGGTACAAGCATTTTCATTATTTCTTTACGCAAAGCAAACCTCGAAACGATACTTAACGAAATTCAGTCTGAATCTAGATTAGAATTCGCCGCTGAAGATCATCTTCAACGGAAACTTTTTTCATTGTTGAATTCAGCATATTAAACTTAGTCGGTATGCAATAAAAATTAAAGTCGGTGTTTTCCAAGAAAACGCAATCAATCGTCCTTGATAAAAGCTTCGGAATCGGCCTATACGCGAGTGTATATGATAACGATTTCGTCGCAATGATTAGCGTACAAGATGCTCCCGTGTGCACAACGACAATTATATCAGTCCCTTTTTAATTATACCGCGCTGTGATGCATTTAATCCTGACGTTAGAAATTGGTGCTAAACGTTTATCGCTCGAGTGTCCCGCGCGAGAACTGGTGCTCCCGACTCCTCAGAACCTGAATCATTACGAAAACGGGAAGAAAGAAAAACAGTGAAAGATCGCTGAGAAATGGAAGAATACGACAACCCAAACGATTACAGTGGCACAGCACGTACGAACATATCGCATTGGTAGCATCTTGAGGTTTTTCAAATCGTAAGAGTTGCGAGCGTTCCGGGGACCCGTTGGCCTCCGGCACGTTGTAATCATTTTAGTATTAGGTACTCGTTAATTTATTCTGTATATATATATATACGCGATAAAAAAAGGAAAAAAAAAGAAAAGAAAGAAAACAACTGTATATTAGTTAAGGGCAAAGCATGCTTTAAACGTGAAAACGACCGGGGTACCGGAAATGGCCGCGGCTTCCGGTAGGGTTCGCGCGAGTGCTCGCTTGCGAAGGTACAATTTGCCATAAAAGAGCAACACGATAATCCGTATGTACGTGTACTCTGCCATAGGTACGATTTTCGTTCACGTCGAAAATGGGTACGACGACGAAACCGTTTGATCGTTGCGCGAACGATCACGGACCAACCGGATGCACGATGCTTTTCGTTTCAAGCAAATCGAATGTAGAACATGTTTGCTGTTAGAAAACGAAAAACAAACAACGTTGTGGTACCGTTGCTGCTCGTTAAGCGAGAACGAGCATGAGTTCATACATTGTAGAGTGAATCGCGGCAGTATTCGAACGTTGGCGGTTCAAGTCTGCAACGCTTAAAATAAAGACGACCGAACTAAATTGTACCTTCGAACCATTAGTACTGAGTTAAGAGAATGATATTACAGCACGAAGAATATATTTTCTTTTGCTGAGACGGTACTGGTGTTTTAAAAAGTTTTTGCCGAGAAAAGCGCGCAACAGTTCGCCACAGATTTGAATTGCAAATGTTCGAACGCCTTCCTCGATCCATCGCGTGTTCGCTGTATGTTTTAACGTAAGAATAGGCTATAAGGATACTTAAGGAAACACAGGCTTTAGGGAAATAAGGCACGATTCGAATTCCCTTTCTTTTTTTACATCTCATCGTCCCTGCCGCGGGCTCTTTAAAGCTAACGGAATTCGCATAGATGTAAACCGACGTTCGCGATTTTAATTTGCCTCGAACGCAGTTCGAGCAGCCGCGCGGGGAAACAGCGGCTCGTTTCGCGCGTTCAATTTTTGTATCCCGTCCCGAGCGAGCTACGTTTTATCGTCAAACGAGGGCCACGAATCTAATCTATAAGAAGTCTTTCGATTTAGTAACTGTAAGCAGTGGCGAGATCATTCGTCGCGCAACTATCATCGTTAAGGCTTATAAGGGAACATTGAGCGTCAATCTTTGTACGCGAGTGTATTTAACGGATGGAGACTTCGATTTCGAAAATATTACTTTCCCGGTTTTGCGCGTGAGCACTGCGTTGATACGAAATTGTTACGTCTTGGACGAAATGTTAAGATAGCGTTTGAAACCCAAAGTCTTCGGCCAAAAGTACTCTTGTATGCGAAGTTTGACGTGATTCCGAGGGGAGGGGGGGGGGGAGCAATCCTCGACGCTCCCTTGTTAACCGATATCGCGTCTGTCCCCTGTTATGCGCATACTTTTTCTCTGCTTAGCATGAAACGTCGATGCACGATAGGGGTTGATGGGCACCGAAACGCGTCGACGTCCGTATTCGTCGTTCTAGTTTGTACCAGTAGTTGTATCGTGTTGTCCGAGAATTTTTGAGGCAGCTCAAAAGACGAGTTAGAAAGCAACCGGTGAGAATACATTTTAAAATCCGACGGATTCGAGCTTGCGCGACGTTGCATGGAGAAATGAGGCATAATCAAGAATCGCGTACGCGAGAAATTAATCGTGATCGAAAAACCGAAATCCGGGGAGATGCTGGATATTTCTCTGGGCATGATATTAACCAAATTTTTTTTTTTTTTTTTTTTTACGTAGAGAAGAGAGCACGTTTGGCGCACGTTGTAAAAGTTAGACGAAAGAAGAATATAAGTCGGATCAAAATCAGCTGGTCGCTCGAGGCCGCTGAAGGGTTATCCCCGCCATAAAGTTTTGGCCACTCCCACAGAATCAGTAGACCTGCTGGCACATGCTCTCCGGCTCCCGATTAAAAAGCAACAGCGTCAAAAGCGAATTATATCGATTCGCGCTTTCAATGGTCGCGTGTTAATCTATCGTAGACGTATGCGACAACCGCCTGGCCGCCGATTTTATGCATTTCTAGCGGACGCGAATGTGAAAAGCGTATGCGGAATACATACACTCGTGCAAAATGGAATATCGATATTATATTTCGTTAGTGAAATATTTATCTATACGCGTTTTGCATGTACATATTTCCCAGCGTTGAGCGAAATGTAGTCCACGATTACGATTACCGTATAATCGGTAATAATCAATCGATGATTGACGAGTGATCGGTCACGATTAGCTCTGATAGATTGCAAATGTAGTTTACGATTACCGACCAATCTGACAATCTCAAGTGATTATTCCATGCGTAATCTCTGCACAACTCTGGTGTCTTCCATACCACCCGTACGTTATAAATGCATAAAATCTACAGGCTAACGATATACGAAGAGTCCAGCGAGTAGACAAGCCATGATCGTTTCGTTGCTTTCGTTTTCCGTGTCGTTTAATCCCTCGGTAAAGCCGATAGTAAACGTAGGAGCGAATTTGAAAGCTATGGTAAACGATGGACACGGTACAGAGACGGGCAAAATTCTTATCCAAAGTATAGATTAAAATTTGATTTACGGAACGAAATATTTTTATAAAAGAACAAACAAAAACTTCGTCGTTCGATCGAATAAATTCCTATGCGTTGGTTCCATTCGTTATCTGTTACTCGAATAAAGTTTTGTCCAGCTCTAGCACGGTCGACTCGAGCGAGTCTTTACGAGTGGGTGAGTTTTCGAGTCGGTGCAAAGAGAGAAGAGAGAAGGGACGAGAAAAGCATTCTTTACGTATCGTTGTACGCGTTGTGTGATATGCGATTACGCAGTCGATACTTTGTTGAACTTTGTTTCGTTACGTTTACATGGGTTGTGATTCTATATGTGGGACTAAGTGAATTCGTTGGTCGCTTATTATTGTTGAGACGTGTGTATTAATTTTTTTTTTTTTTTTGTTTGTTTTACATCGACGAACAAGCGTTAAAGTTAATTACTGTATGCCAGTGTCGAGAGTCATTCTCCGGCCGTTTTTCATTTTCGTACCGGAGACCACAAAAAGTATAAAGCGAGAATTTCATAAAAACGCCACGATTTGTATTCCACTTGGGACTCTCTTCGTTTTCCGTTCATCGAACGGACCAACTACCAACGGTAGATGCGTGGGAAGCAGCCGCTCTTTTTCCTCTTTATTTCCTCCGCGCTTTTCTAAGAACGCCTTCGAGACGGACTTGTTGTTCTATATTTTTCTTTTTTGTGATAAGCGAACTGGATGTTCTCCGTGAGAATATTTATCAGCGAACTCGACGAACGTTTGATAATTATATTACACGCTCTTCACGTGAAATACAGTTTCGTTTCTTACTATACAGTACACTCGTTTCTCTCATTCGACTCCTTTTCCCGCCGCCTCTACGTCCCTCCATTCTCTAAGTGCGCGCAGCTGTCGTCCTGGAACGGGACCGCGCGAAAAACTCAATTTGCATATTTTACTACGGTCGATTCGATCGAAACCAGTTCATCGAACGAACGGAACGAAAAATGAGAATTAAAAAAATGAAAGGTCGTCGAACCTGGGCCAGCGTTTTTCGAGAGGGGATAAGTTTAGATCCTATTCTACGGAATGTCCTACTAGTGGACCTCCCCTCAGGAGAGGAATCATCTTTCATTCAAGTAACGCAATGTCTCCAAGGAATTATCCAATCTTAAAATAACAAAACAAAAAAGAATGGAATATACGGTAAGGATGTACAGTATTGCACAGTCGAAATTCCGGTCAAACAAATCCCAAATTCGTTTGATCGAGGTTTTACAATGTAAACACGAGCGTTTCATCCTTGAATATGTATACAAATAGTAGATGTTTTACCGCTGCCTGATAAACTGACACGGTTGGACACCCGTCGTTACAAGCGAAGCCACATTTGGAGTCCGCGAGAACCGCAGTGGGGAGAACCGATCACGTGAGCCGCGTGGATGGATCAACATCTCGCCGAGTATTTCAGTTTTCCTTAGATCTCGCAGTATGAGTCGGGACGGCGAAGTAGCGACAACGATGAGGATCGTTGCACTGTTGTTTCTATTCGGCACGATTGCCGGTAGCAACGACACTCTTTACAACGAGATCCCGACTACAGAGTCGGCGGACGATTTAGAAGAAAAAGTGAACGAGCACGGGTTCGCGAAGAACAAAACGTTGCACGAGATCTTCAACGATGCTGTTCACGCGTATCTCGAGGAAGACTGGGACCGTTGCATCAACGACTTCAACGCAGTTTCGCATGGGTACGTTCAAATGTGAAATAAAAAGATGGGGTGCTGTTAGGTGCGGTAATTCCGAAGAAAAGAAGATATGTATTTTACTTAGAGTTAGAACTTCCCGGAAAAACGTTAGATCTGTAGAAATTTTTATATAAAATGGATAGAATGCTCGAAATGAAATAAAAAGCCATCTTTTCTTCCCATTCTCGTCATTCGGATGATTAATGTTGAATAAAATTTGTTATTGAAAGCCAATCGTTTCAGGTACAACGTTTACAAACGCAGGATGATAAATTGTCGACAAAAGTGCAGGGCTAGCGCCGCCGGCACGGCACCGATATTCCCGGAAAACATAGAGGATCTGCACTTTTACGAGAAGAAAGTGAAAGAAACGTTGTGCCTTCTGATGTGCAATCAAGAATATCGCGAGATCGCCGGCTCGAAAGCTTTGAAGATGTTGCCGCGCGATACCGAACATAAATTGATGGATCTCGTCCCTTACGAGTACGTGCACATCTGCTACTATCAGGTAATCGATTAGTTAGCAAATTATGGAAATCTGAATAGCGAATTTATTTTCGGTTGGAGGATTGGATCGTTGATAGATGAATCGATGCTAACAAAGTTGCTTTCCTTATCACGTCCGCGAGCTCTGCTACCAATTCTTTAACATTATCGCGTCGAGTTTTAAATTTGGTCCAGAGGTCGAGCATTTTCACACCATCTCACACGTACGCCCGACTAATTCTAATAGGAGAGCTTACGCAATCGCAGCTTTGCTAATCCCACGCCCGCAACATTTTAGTAAATAATGAGTTTAATGTACCAAACGAGCGGCCGGCAGTAAAACTTGGCCTACGTCATCGGCGCGCAAATGAATCGATGCTGTAACTGACTGTAACGCGTTCTACGAGTCGCAATCGGTCCATCGTGGAACAATGGGGTCTCGTGAAACATGATGCCGTAGGTCCTTATTCCGTGGAACAACTGGTCGCAGCTATATCGCGTTCGATTCGATTCCGATATTTTTACGTAGAAATATCCTTGTATCGCCACTGGCCGGTAGAGAGGTCTCCTGAAATGTTTTTACTGTACGATTTGTTTGTATAGAAAGAGCGTTACCAAGATGCGGCGAACGCGATCTTCACTTACCTAGTCAGGCATCCGGAACACGAGGCGAGCACAGCAACTTTGAAAAATTATTTGACGCTGCCCGGTGTAGAGCCGGAAAACGTCGTAAACTTAGAAGGAGCACCGTATGTCAGCATGTACTTGAGAGCAGTGTCGGCTTACGAGAACGAAAACTACGCAGAAGCGGCGAGTCTCTTCGAAGCGTCGCTGAGATCTTATTTGGACTCCGAAGAGGAGTGCAGATTTTACTGCGAGGGTCCCTTCGATCAGGGTTGGCTTCCAGAGTTCACGTCCTCCATCGCCAGTGAGTGAAGAACGTACGAAGAATAATTTTCCGAGCCTGTCGACAACAAATTTATTTTTACTTACACATGTTTTCTTTCTACGTTATGTAAACATACATTCAAATGAAATCGTACAAACTAACTAAACCCAGTAACGACGCTCTCAATTTTCCAGACCATTTCGCGCATTGTTTGAAGTGCAAACGATCATGTTCCACCTTGTTAAACAACGTAAACGGCAATTACCAGAAGGACATACTCTGGACTCACTACGATTATTTGCAATTCTCCTATTACAAACGTAAGTATACACATTCGAACGAAACGGTAACTGAAACAATGCTCGATCGTTATCGGTATCGCGTATCCTGTCGAATGAACACGCCGCGTCTATTTCTAAAAATTCTTGCACATTCGATGAGTGGGCCAGAGAGAGAGAGAGAGAGAGATAGGGACGGTTCGCGTTGATAAACTAAGCACACGTCGACTTCGTGCAGAACAGAGTGATAACGAGGCCTCGAACTACCCGGTAGTCGTACGAATTATACGACCGTGTCATCGCAGTAAATTAATCCTCGTGCCTTCAATGAACCGATACTCCTCGGGAAGTTGTAATTCACGAAGGAGAATTTTAATTGAATTTATCTTGCCCAAGTAGTCGTCAAGCATCGTCTCGCTGGATGAGCAGTCATTATCCGTGAAATTGTTCTCGGCTTCTAGTCTTTATCCCATCGAAAAATATTACTCTCGTTTGTTTCCTTTCATTTTATGCATAGTGGGCAACTTGAAGGCGGCCTGCGCTAACGTGGAAAGTTTCTTGTTATTCAATCCCATCGACGAGTCGATGCTTCAGAACAAGAAATACTACAGGGCTCAACCAAAAGTGAAAGAGGAGGATTGCGTTCCGAGACAGGTGATCGATCGAGTCCTTTCGATTAACGAAATTGCAGAAGATCAAATGAAATTTCAAACCGAAACTTCTGCTCTCTTCCAGGAAGCTCTTAGCTACGCGAAAAGGCAGGAATACGAATTCAATCTCTTGCGCTACATTTCCAACGAGTTCTCAGCCATCGACGCTAAACTCGCAAAGATGAAGAAGAAGAAATCCGAAACGAAGAGCGGCAAAAGCAAAGAGAAGGAGCTAGGAAAGGTAAAGACTGAATTATAAGACTCAAACAGAATTCGTGAGATTCCGTGAATCTCCGTCGGAGTGTCGGTTCCTTATTACGTATGATTTTTGTTTAAAGGACGATGCGCGTATTAATCTATCGATCGCATACAAAGTTTAAGACCGGCGAGCACGTAATTTAGGAATAATCTTTTTCAATTTTTTTGTAACGTTTTTATAAGACAAATAAAAGATCCATACACGAAACTACTTCACTGTATCCTGTATTTCTATACTGCTATTTCGATTCTACGATTCTCCGAAACGTTTTGCTACCAGCTTTCTCGTAGAAACGCCTAAAGAATGCAGCCGAGACCGCTTTATGTACGTATGGTGAGATAATGCAGGCGCGGCATGCTCACCGCCTACTAGATTTTTAATTTACTACATTGCACGGCTTTTCTATTTATCTTGCGTTATTCTGGAGTAGATTTCAACGTTAAAATACGACTGAAAGCAACATGGAAACAATGAAAGCGTTACATCTTTTGGTTTTTTGCAGAAATTGAGTTCGGAGGCGACATTGTATACACCGCCTGGCCATTCGTCGCTTTCTCACACGCAACTGGTAAAAAATTTGTCTATGATACGAGACGAAGGACACGAGATACGCGACGTACCACGGCGTAAGGTCAACGTCGATATCTATCTAGTGGCGGAAGAGAAAGAGCTTGGCGAAAAGAATCGCTACGTGGCTGACGGATTCCTCAACTCTACGGAGTGCGGTCTCTTGATGGAGTTGGCCTCGGTATGTTTTCATTAAAATTGTTTACAGTAGAACCTCGATAACTTCAAGATTCATAAATGATTTTTACCAAGATAATTTAAGAGAACAAAACTGGAACAGTTCTACTGCGCTACATTAGCTTTTAGTTGCGCAACTGCGACTCTATGTATGTATTGTATTGAATCTACAAAATAGATTTTTAAATGTACAGATGACTGCGGTGGAAGGAGACGGATACAGCGAATTCAAAAGCCCGCACTCCAAGTACGAACGATTCGAAGGGATCACGATAGGAAGAATCGCGTTGGTACGAAGTGCTCGAATCGTTTTGCGTCACGTTGTTGTTCAATAATAACAATAATAATAATTACAGATGGTATACGTGGGGCAAATAGAAACTGAACGATTGCAGCAGCTTTTGGAAAAAACAGAGGAGGCGCGTAGCCACGTGGAAAGGTATTTCGGACTAGATCGGCCACTGTATATCACCTACACCCATTTGGTCTGCCGTACGGCTCTACCTGGTAATTTTCATCTGATGCATCAACGTGCTTCTGGTTCCTTTCGCAGCTGTAATCGCGTCGCATCGATTTACTTGGTACGGCACGTGGGTAATATCCAGTGACCAGTCGAAAGAAAGCTATCAGTTCATTCCATAAGTAACGCGAATCCGTGGAGGGCATATAATCGAACAAAACTCGACTGTTGGATATCAAGAATCTCGTTAGAAATTCGAATCATCGCACCATCCAAAACAATCATCTATAACACAGACAAAAAGTATCATTAAATATTTCATTCGAAGAGTATCCTACCTTATGTTCGATAGAATGTACGAGGAGTTACGTACCTTAAGCTACTGTAATCCAGAAGACCCTCGGGAACACCAGAATAACGGGTGATTGCGAATGGTAAAACTGATATTGAAGGCGTTTAGAGGGAGATAGGATTCCTGTGCAAAGGAGAAAAGTTATCGGTATATAAAGAAAGTTTGCATTACTTATGGGCTGACTTGGTAGTCCCGCTTCAATTTAGACAATCAAATGACCTTCCTGTCGAGTCTTCAAGCTACTTCTTCTTCAACCTAAAAGCACAACAAACAAGTAAATATGTTCAAGCACGGGACAATTATATTTTCCAATTTCTAGATTCGCCGACGGATCGAAACGACTTGAGTCACCTAGTTCACGCTGACAATTGTATACTGATGGATAAAGGTACTTGCATCCGCGAAAGCCCAGCCTACGTCTGGAGGGATTACTCGGCGATCCTCTACCTGAACAACGACTTCCAGGGCGGCGAGTTCTTCTTTGCGAAGGATCGCACGAAACGAGAGTTGGACAATCTAGTTTTCCCGCGTTGCGGGCGTATGGTGGCCTTCTCCGCTGGCGAAGAGAATCTTCACGGTGTACGCAGCGTTCTTCGAGGCAAAAGATGCGCGTTAGCTCTGTGGTTCACTCAGAACGAGACGCACATGGAGTACGAGAGGATCCTGGCTCAGGCGATCTTGAAGCGAGTCCGTTCGGTTGGACCTCTTCGAGAAAAAGGTGTCCAGGTGCCTCTAAGGTAAACCACTGAATCTTTCAGAACTTAATACAACTAAAACTGTTATCTCGTGGTTTCTTTAAATAAGTTTCTCGTATGTTCAGGTACGAGGACGTGCTCTTCCAATACGCGAGCAACGACGAGTTGATAAGGCATTTTCTAGGCAATGCTTCGTGAACTAGAAGCATAGTCAACGAAGATCTTTAGTATTATATTACGAGTTCCAGAATTTTCATAGGCGAATGATAATTTACAGAGTAATATATTTCATTCCCGGTCAACGTGACTGGGGCACAGTAAACCAGGGACCTGAGAAGACAATTCACAGAAACAAGAAATCCTACAAAGTACATTCAAGATTCCTCTACTTAGTACAACTTGCTTTTTTTCCTTTTTATTTTTGTACAGTTTGTGTCATACGCATTCGATTCAGTCGCATTTATTTCGTTACCTTGAGTATATGTGTATACTCGTATAATAAAGTATATTGTCTATAATACAAATAGGATGTTAGTTGTATGCGGGATAGTACGAATAGTCGCGGCCATCGAACAGCTTTATTTATATAAAATATCCTAATCTTTATTAGAACATAGACATTACATGTCAACAGGCTTACATAACCATCCTATGTATCGTGTAACATGTATATTGTAATTTATTTATTCTCCTCGTCGTATTTATACTATGTATAAGAGTCATATGTATATATGCAGTTGCATTGCGATCTCCGCTCTTCGATGCGTCTCTCGTGTGATTTCAAGCCCTGTACACACTGCCCTTATGCATAATCGCGACGATACGCGTATTCTCAGATTGTGTGTTGCGTGAATGTGTATAGTAGCGCTATCGATACCCAAAATATCTGGGTACATGTGAGATTTTATATATATATATATATAAAGTACCCAACATACTGTACCGGGATGTTCCGGGTACCACGAGATACCTAGAGAAATAAAAAGCGTACGCGTACGCTATGTTCGATGTTACCACGCGATATCAGATATGGTCCGAGTAGAATCGGATAAAGTTGAACACAGATGCTAAACGGGTATGAAATCGATGATGATTTATGATTAGTTATTTTTAATTGTTCACCATTATAAAAACGATAAGTCTCATAATTATAAAATGTATTTCGTATAGCGAATCCGAAGTATACGTAAGCGTACCTGTGCAATTTTCGTAGGTACCAGGTCGCTAAGGTATCTCGGGTACCCGATGGAAATCAATAGCCCTGACGTACATGCGTGTGTGTTTTTCGTTAAATGTAGAATTTTCGTCGTACCTTGCAATCGTACATGTAAAAAGCGAATCGCATAAATTCCTTTATATCCTCTGTTGGACGCATTGTACGCATAGGAATAAAAAACGCACGCTCGATGAATTAACGAGTCATTAACGTCAATAAAAACCATGATGGTTGTGCCACTTTCCTTGCCGTGATCGTTACAGGATCAGTCGGGATAAAAGTGAACGCGATCATTAACATTATTATGTTTCGTTACAAACATTTATTACGAAATTATAGTGACATCTGCGTATCACAGGAGAGCTCAGTCGATTTTTTTTTTATTCGTCTTCCAGGAACCACTCCATAATAATCGTGTCAGTATCTCTCATTTCCGTGAAACGTTACCGCGTGTATATTTACCAAAGAACAACGTTGCATCTTTGCTTTCTAGATCGATGAACCATACTGTAACATAAATTCAATCGTATTGTATGATTGACGATAGAAGAGATCGTTAGTTGATTAGCAACATCGAATGGAGTGGTCGCCATTTTTTTTTATCATCGTATCGTTTGGATGATTTTATTTATATTGCTCATCGTAGACCTTCGTTTCGTTTCTTCTTACGAGAGTATAGTAACAAAAAGGGAAATATAAAGTCCGTAAAATATAGACGCAGAGCATCGCAGGAACGCGCTGAATGACAACAGTTTCTTAAAATGTAAAATCATTATGGTACATTTGACGAACATTACTTGCTACAAGAAATATTCCTTGTCGTCCGGTAACCAAATTGTCAGCAAGTCGCGACTCTACGAACTATTCGTTATAGTTAGTAAGCATAATGCACTTTTAGAGCCAGACAAAGAATACCTCGCAACAAGTACCGCGAGTACTCGTGTATAGATCGAAAAAAAAACGCGTAAAGTTTTTTATATTACTAACATGTGTTTTTAACTGTTATAAAACAAGTACTGTAATAATAATCAATCTTTCGTGAAATTAACAAGAATTAGACAATAATTTACATTAAAAACACAAATAACCCAAGGTCTGATGTAAAATAAAAGAAAAAAAATAAAAGTTAATCACAAATCGAACTATGCACGAATATGTACGATGTGTTTGTAAACTTGTTACAGATATTTAAATCCGCACCGAGGGAAGCATCGTCTGTGCTGAGCTATAATATTAATAATAATAATAATAATAATAATAATAATAATAATAATAATAAAAAATAAAATAGTAATAATCGGATTTCGTTTCAGACTTATTCTTATAGAGTCATTACTTCCTTTTATATACACATATACATATACACACAAATTGTATGTATGCACATGCAATTGAACGAAACGGCCTGCCCCTAGCGTTCGATTCGTAAACGTTGATTGTTAAGAGAACACTAAGAGAAAAAAAAATTGGTAAAAACATTAATAGATAGAATATTCGATTCCCGTTGAGAAGGGTTGAGAAGACTATGTTAACGTCCTCGAAGTTAGTATGCTTCTTAAAAGCGAACCGGTGGCCCAAGTGAACCCCACCGAAACGAGTTACTCTAAGTTAAATGTAGCAAGAAATACTGGATTAATTTACGATCGTGGAAACGACGAAATAATCGTCGTCCAGAAGACTGTGAGAGACACTTGCGAAACTGCGGAACATGCGGACGTTTCGATCGTTACAACGCTAAAATCTCGTCTCGTTAAAACGTTTTCATCTGTATCTTTTTTTTTTTCTTTGTTGAAGAATAATTTTGCAGTTATCGAATTTCAGCAAGCAGAAACATGTGAGAACGTTCATTCTTACGCCCTACACGGCTATCTTCTCTATTCGGAGCAAAATTCTTACACGTTCGGACTTATTTAATAGAGCGTACGCAGAAATCGTTGCGTAGAAAAATTGAACAAATTATCACAAAACGAAACAATTCTGTGGCCTTTCTCCTCTTCCTTTTTGTTTTTGGATCATCAATTTTGCACGAGTTTTTTCTTACGCACGCGTATAGCTATACAAACAGATCGGGGTAGGACTCTGTGATAGGTTTATAACAAGCGACATTGACCCCTGTTCGTGCAAAATATAAATGCTAAATGTACAGAAGATTGGCGTTTACAGATCCTTTACATTTCTTCTTCACAAAATCTCTTAATGATACAGTACTAATAACTATATTAAAATAACGCAAGATATAACAATAGAATAAAACGTTGTACTGTTTGATGGTTTCTTTAGAGAGTTCTTGCATCTTTGTTTTTTTTTTTTGTTTACGTAAAAAAATTTATAACGTATTTTGATTATATAGACACAATAATATGGCGAGAATGTCGTGGCGAAAAATATGCTGGACACCAAAGGCTTTATGCGAATCATCGTATTACGTACTTCGTTACGCGTCGTAGAAACATTACGAAAAATAGTACTATCTAACCGAGGACATATTGTAGACAATTGAAAAATACATAAGCGTGATAGAAGTGCGAGAAAAAAAAAATGATTGAGTTAGGGAAACTGTCCTCGTACAAGGGAACACCCCGTGTCTAGAGAAAAGTCGTAAAGCTGACCTGCGAATTGAGGTTATGTGAGGTGTACTAAATCCCACGCAAGATATGAAACACATATTAGAATGCCGTTCATCAGGTAGCGAGTGAATTGCAAAGTCCAACTACGTTTTCCTTTCGATATCGTTCGCGATAAGTGAAGGTGCGATCTCCCTTCTATTATTTGGTACGCGACATCGTTCTCATTCGTTGAAAAGACTTAACAAAGCATCGTGCTTACTTGCCGCTTTGATGCAAACTATTCGTATATCGAACAACTTTATCATATCGCACGCGTTCTTTGGTATCCAACAGGCTTTCCCACGCCGATTTCGTGTTTGAACAGACATTAGTCGTGGTATGGGCAGTGAATGAACAAGCAAGTACCAATATTAAATGGGCAGACTCTCCCATTGAGGCGCCCATTCTGGAAGTCGTCAATCCACATTGGATGGCGGTGCGGCGTATCTGCTTCTTGAATCGGAATCTCCGTCGCATATGTACTTTCCTAAAAATGATAAGTCCCTTGCACAATCACGATGCTTTCGTGTGTCAATTCCGCAACGCTTATGTTGATGTGTCGCTTACCTGATACAAATCTGCGCTTTACTAAACTTAACCTATAGCCTGGGCCCAGAAGTTCGAATTCAACTCCGGACAATGTGGTCCCCTCGCAATTGAATTGAGTAAATATCGTTCCTTGATTCCCTGGCCCATGTGCGAGCTCGACTCGCGCTTTCAAAGAGCCCACGCCGTTACCCTCGCTATGTTGAGACAACTCTGTGAACTTCCATAATACTCGATTCGTATCCGCTAACCACTGAGCCTGTGGCTTACTGTTCAACGATTTGAAACCACCGTCTATGGGCGCTGCCACGTGGAGATTTAGCAGAGGGCTCGGGGAAGCCATGGCGCGACTGTTGTATTTATAATCGATCTAGAAAACACGTAAAATGCTTGTTTAATAATTTCATTGTACGGTAATGCTTCTACCGGATGCGTATAAATATTTACGCAACGTTTAAAATAAATACCCTAAGGTCAGTGTGTGTTGTCTCGCACTTCCAATACGCCACTAACTGGAAAGGACAAGAGCCCGCGCCCTCCTTACACTTGATTTGATACTTGAGTATGTCGACGTTAAAATAGGAAGCTGTGGGATTTTGTTCAGCCTGTTTACGTAACAATGTAGTTAAGGCACTCATGTTGAATTCGAAAATTGTACTTTCGACGGTTGTCTGCGTGGCATCCCTGCGTGCGATTAAAACTTGTTTACAAACTTGCACGCGCAAGTCCACCACGTTATTATTATCGGATCGTCCCACAAGTATCACGACGTCTAATGTTACCGCTGTATTTTGCAGTCACCGGAAACGACGTGTTACATAATGGGACGCACGAATACGACTTACATGCTGACGAGCTGATTATTAGGAAACAATTTTTCCAGTCTGCTGCTGTTTCTCACTCGAAACGTTAACTTTGCTGGACTTGGATTGTTCGCTAGCACGGCAACGATACCGGCGGGAAACGATAACATCATGTCCCCGCTGAGCTTCACCTGACATCGAGTCTCGTCGGTACCCCTAAAGTAAGAGTGTACTATTTCATGGAAGGCAACCGCCAGAGGAATCGTATCCGCGAGGCCGATCGTCAGCGGAGAAGGACCTCTGGAAGAACCGACCCCCACGCCAGCGGTGCGAAATTCCAAACTGGCCACGCTATCCGCTCTCGATATCGTCGCTGGCGACGACCTACCCCTTGGAGAGGGGCCTTCACCTCGTCGGGACGGCGGTCTAGGAATGATAATAGATCCTGTCGGAGTGGAAGATGCGGATTGCTTTGGGGGTAAGGCCGGAGTGATGTCTCCTACTTCCGAGAACAAGTCTCCATCTGCGAGGATCAACGATAGTTACATTCCGTTCGCTTCGACAGGGCGCGGTGGTACACAGTTAGATCATTAAGTTCTGAGGACCAGGTCTTTTTCAAAGCATTTAGAAGCGTGTGTTGTGTTATGACGGCGTGCTGTTTCGTTTCGTTCGGCAGACATCGACACGGTTTAAGACGTTTCGATACATTCGTTCCTAAATGCGGTCGCTACACGGTACTAGAACTTAATGCTCCACTTTAGCGCATAACCCCGGACAAGGCACAAAAAGCGTCCCGATGAGCTGAGAGTGCAATAAGAAGCGACTCTTTACACTCACCAGGGAACCGCGAGTGAGGGTGTGTAGGTGGTGCGGATTGTGGCGGCTGTGGTTGAGGCGTCGGTGACGAAGACAGTGGCGGAGGACTTTGCAATGGCGCGTACGGATGACTACCAGTCGGCGTCGAGGCGCTCGAAGGTGTACTGCTGGGATTGAACAAGTTTAGGCCAAGTAAATCTGAGCTTGGCTTACCTCCTAATTGCTGTGACACTGACTGAGACCTTTTCATGTGGTGATCAGAGTCGGTGTTCGATCCTCTGCGTCCCTGATAGAAGCGAAACAATATTATTTAAACGATCTATATACGTAATATCTTAAATATCTGAAAACGTAAGGAAACAATTGAACGTACCGTGGGTGCAGGCGATAACGATAAATTCTCCACCGTTGCCCTTAGCTCGTCTACGCTGGCACTCATCGGTGCTCCGCCATTGCTGAGAGGCTTTATTTCCACCCTGATCTTTCTCTCCCTCTCGTCTTCGGAATCGGTATCCGAGCTGGAATAAAATCCCTTCTCGTTCTCCCACGGATCTGATTTTGGTCGGATACAAAAACCGTCTTCGTCCACTTCCGGTGTCGGTGTTTCGGACTTTCTGCTGTCCTCCTTGTCCTCCCTACCGTAGAATTAGGAGAGTTCAGCGGGGACGCAGTTTTACATGTTCCAGCAGGCCCAGTGCATTTTTGTGTACGTACGACATGAACTACGCTACTTTAATTTTGTTGCAAATAGTGACTTCTAAAGAGGATACTTCATTTGTTTTTTTTAATTCTTTTGCTTAGCAATACTGTCGTGCCTTAATGAATAGAGTGCTGACGAAAGCAAAACGTTATAATAGGAAAATATGGAGCACCAATTCCGCAACCAAGTCTCTCTTTGATGAATTCCGGCCGAAATCTATATCGGACTTTGATCAAACAATCATACTTTAGCGATCTTGGTATGTGAAATTGATCTCGAGTGCACTAGATCTGCTGAACGTGCGTATACTGACAGGTCAGACTTTTCTTCTTTGTTGCTGTTCGTTTCCACGACATCCTTCTTCTTTTTTGCCTTCTTTTCCTTGCGCTTTTCTCTCCTGCTGCGAAGAAACCCTGTTGGTCGTGGACGCACGATATATAGAAAACAAAGCGACTCTTAATTTTTATTGTTAACCCGAACAGACGATATGAAAGACTCTAAAAGATGTAGAGTAAAATACAATAACAATTCCTAATTGATCTCCTATTGAAATCGACAAAAATTAACTTTCTCTTATGCATACATAAAAAAAAAAAAAAAGAGATAATAAGATCTTATATCTATAAATTAAAAATTAATTGTAACTCTGATACATTAAAACTGTAGCTATACAAGGTTCGTTTAACTACGTCGATACAGGAGACGAACAATTCTGGTGAAAGTTGTCGATCGAATGAAAATGATCGACCCTTAAAACGTAAAGGTAAATAAAGTAACTATGAACTAAAACTAAAAAGCGAAAAAACTACGTTTGCGGTGTCAACATATTCGTACTGAAAGTTAATGTAAATAATAACTTATATTAGAAACTAATGGAAACTTGTAATCTAATGATAGGTGAAAATCAATTTACTTTCCAAGTGTTTGAGGCGTAGCGCAACGTGATCAAATAACGTCTACGATAAAAAAAGAAAACTGAATGGTCACCGGATCAACAATCAGCAGATGCATTCTCTATGAGCTTTCTAATTATGACATTCTCTGATTGTGCTGATATGAATTTCGGCGTCTATTAAATCGATACTTTCGCTATAATCTGTATAACTCTTTGTGGACGAGTATTTAATAGTTCTGAAACTCGTATCAGCATT